AGCGTTTGGTCGGACGGACGAAGTTCAGAGATTATTAACGGAAAAGGAACGTGGGCCGTTGGATTGTAGGGATAAGGAAGGGAACACGCCACTGCATTTAGCGGCGAGCAAAGGACTGTTGGACAGTGCTAAGGTGTTGGTGAGTGCAGGGGCACAGGTGGACGCGAGGGGTAGCGACGGCCGGACGGCTTTGCACAGAGCGGCTGCTAATGGGGACCGTCAGATGGTGGAGATGTTTCTAGACGTGGGTGCTGACCCCACAATTTCGGATTTCGATCATGGCCGGTCAGCCTTTGATGTTGCACGGGATAAGGGCCACGTAAGTAATCACATAGTTTTCTATTTATTATATTTATACATCAGTCATCAAACTTTTAAAATGTGTTAGATGGTTATCAATTTGTACATTTGTTTCCGTCACATAACCTAGATTGCGCATTCAAATTTATGGGGTTTAATATTTCAATTTGTACAGAAAGATGTTGTTAAAATACTTGATCGAGGTGCGTCGGTGCTTAGTGCTGCAAGGCGCGGAGAGGTGGATTTACTCGAGTCGCTACTCGAAAAAGGTGCATCTGTGAATTTCTCTGATCAATATGGTTTGACGCCACTTCACATTGCAGCTATTAAGGGGCATAAAGATGCAGTAATGATGCTTGTTGAATTTGGTGCTGATTTGGAAAGCCAAGATGCTGAAGGCCATACGCCACTGCATTTGGCCGTTGAAGGAGGCTCGGTCGAGATTGTCCAAATTTTGATCGATAGAGGAGCTAATGTAAATGCCAAGAGCAAGAAAGGTGCAACACCATTGTATATTTCGAAATTGATGGAATATCAGCATATTACCGAGGTTCTTCTTCTCGAAAGGACTGTTACATCTCTCAATTAGTGGTGTGACTGGTGTCAAAATCAGTGTGTGTCGAGCTCTCCAAGTGAATCTACCCTTTAAAAATTCGGAAGAAAGTAGTTCAATCCATTGTATGCCGTTTCATTGATTAGTCCAACAATTATAGGAGTCATGCTGGATCAACTTCATTGATTGAAAAATAGAACTATTATTAGTAAATTTACTTGTTTCACTTTACTGTGGAATGCCAGATTGGTTCACAGTATTTTTCTATATTCCGCAAAAAGTTCAATAGTGCAATTTGTAGAAGTATCAATGAAAATATTCAAGTTTTTCTCAGTTATAGCTCACTTTCATATTAAATTTCTATACTCGTATTTTCAAGGAACTTTACGTAAATGAACCAAAAATAATTAAAATATTAATTTTCGGAGAATATCAATCTTCAAAGCGTGAATACTCGCTCCGATCAGAAAATAATGGGACCAAAACGAAGGGGAAGAAAAAAAAAAAGAACAGAGAAAAAAGATGAAGAAAGAAATCACCCATAACATTTCAATCTTCCTGTGTCACGTTATTGTTGGGAATCTACTTAACATGCGCAACGAAAATTAAAAAAAAATTCAATTCTCACCAAAAATCGTCTTTGTGTTTAAATAGAAATTGTGATAAAAGTGATACATTTTCACGATCTGCAAACTTCTTTGCCTTATCTTTGTTCCAGCAATTTGGATCTGTCTCCCACAGCCGTCCAATTGTCCAGCCTCCAACAGTAATCTACACAGAGAACAAAATTATAGTATTAGAATTTTTCTTGTACTAGCAAGAAAATGAAAAATCACTCTAATTTTGAAAACCTTAATCATATTTATATAAACTCGAACGAGCATAGCCTGACCCGATCCAACATTTAATTAACTCATTTAATTAAATTCGGTCCGTGAATTAATTAATCCAATTAATCAATTCAGACATATAAATAAGCAACCCAATTAATTAATTTTATTTATTTATCCAACACTTGTTAAATTAATTAATTGATAAATCACAATCTTCCAGTTCTCCTTTTGTATGGAACACATCAGGTTCCCGATAAAGATATCTAATGACATGAAATATTATGTTGATCTAATCAAAATTGATAAATTAAAATACCTTTTTAATTTATCACCAATCATACTCGCCATCCCAAATTGACATCTAGCAATGTGTCATGGCAATTACATATGACGAGAAATGTCACGTGGTATGACAAAACCAAACTCGTTTGTTTACCGTGAAACTATAATCCCTTCGTCAATATGATCCGATCAATTACGAGATATGGAAGTGTGTCAATCTCGATTATCGATCATATCTTTCACTCCACTATTAAGTCAATATAAGTCAAAAATTCTTTTTCGACTTATGAGTATACATTGGCCAAGAATTTTGTTATCGACTTAATTGAATGAAACTGACGCTGGGTAGGATAGTGATTATCCTATTGGCTTATTGTAGCAGATGATTCGCAAGAAAAGAACGACAAAAAAGGCCCCAAAAAATCAGAGAAAATACTCTGAATTTAACTCAATATTATTAATAATGCAGAATGATCAAAATTAACCCACAAGCCGGGTTAAATAGCTGCGAAATACGAAATTATAGGAAAATTACCAAAAATGGCAAAATTTCGAAACTATACCAAAATAAAATATTAAGTAAAAGAAGTAAGTTGCCAAAAATTTGGCTCAATTCGAGTTTTCTAACATATGGAAAAAAGGAAACGAAATATTACCATAAATAGTAAAAAATAACTTAAAATTGAATTTTGGAAAGGAAAACGGTAGATTTTGGGCTCGAAATTGACGTCCACCGAGCATAGCTGGGTGGCCACGACGTGCGCGCCGAAAAAAGCTTTCCGGATTGGGGTCATAATAGCGATTCCGATAATCGTAGCCAAAGTTATGGCTAAATTACCAAAGACGCGTCAAATTCCCCCAATTAAGGAAATAATGGCGATTCACTTTCCATCTTTGCGCCGATCCGCTATCTCATGGTATCTCAGCGCCATCATCATACTATCTGACAAATCAACATCACTCGACTCGGATCCTCTTGCATCAAAAACACAGATCATAATCTTTTACTATCTAAGAGTAAGGAATCCTCTATTGATCATTCGCAACATTCATATGATTCTTGACATACCCGAACAATGTCGTATTAGCAGCCCTTGGCAGAGCAACATCCAACACCGTTAAAGCATGACAGTTCTCATATAAGGTACTATGACGACCTCAAGTCAAAAGGACCAATCCCACTATCGAACGTTAGAGATTAACCACTGACACTTAGATAGTTATTCATGTGAAATCTCTCGACGAGTCTCCAATGTTTTGTTCTATGAAAAAACATTCACGTGTTCATTTAAGTGTTACCACACTTTAGCTTGTGAGATCAGCTACTTACTTCACAAGTAAGAAATGTTACGCGTGATTATTTAAGATTCAATCATATGTAATTTGTATCACACAATCACAACTCCTTGTGATTAACAAATTACGAAGATTTGAATCTACATACTCTATTATTTAATTTAATTGTCTATTAATTAAATAATAGATCTGCCATTAAATTGAATTAATTATATATCAAAAGTATTTATGTTCAAGGTTGGTTGGACCTAGGGCATAACACTTACAAACTCCCACTTGCACTAGATCCAATCACTTATGTATCCAATATCATAAGAGTTTACATAACGATCATGTTTATGCTACGACAACTCTTTATCAGTGGATCTACAATATTATTAAATGTGAGAATTTGTTCTTCTCTTTACGTCATTTCTATATATTATCTCTCCGATGAGATTATACCTTAATACATGTTTGGATCATTGATAAGACCTTAATTCCTTCGCTTTGGCTATGGCTCTATTGTTATCACAATACAATGACATGTGATCAACAATATCAGGAACTACTCCAAGTTCATTTATGAACATCATGATCCACATTGCAACTTTTTGCTACTTCTGAAGTAATCATGTACTAGATTTCTACTATTAAATCAATGGTTGCTTCACGTTTGGAACATTTCCAACGTATCGCTTAAGAGTAAACCAGTTTCTCCATATGAAATCTTCTCAAGATTTCATCTATGTAAATTGGGATGAGTTAAGCAATCTTTTAGATCTGTCTCTTTAGATTAAGTTGCTTCTCCCATGTCGTTCATGAATAAATCCTTTAACAACCATTATTTTAACTATTAAAACATAGGGATGTCATTTTCTATAATATTAGGAATACGACAGTGCTCCCACTATCTTCTTGCTAACACAAAATTCCTCTTCAAATTTGATAAAATCAAACACTTCGACTTTTCCATCAAATCGAAGATTTCAACTCCAAAAGAATTCTCTTAACATATACTTACAGTATGCAACTGTTGCAAGCAAAACCCCAATGGGCTTCAGTAAGGCTACAGGAGAAAGGTTTCACTAAGGTCAACACTTAACCTTTGCTACTAGCCTTGCTTTATATATATGGATATTCCCATCCATATCGACCTTTTTCCTTGTAAACTATTTACAAAACTTTATGGGTTTTATTCCATCGGGAGGCTCGACCAAGGTCCAAACCTTGTTCACATACGCCGAGTTCATCTTGAGTTTCATGGCCTCTTGCTGTCTCTTTTAAGTCAACACTTGACTTTATTTTTGTGCAATTAGTCGGCTCATCATCCTAGATTAGTAATATCTGATTAGTAATCATGGATTCGCACATTCTTGAAGGTCGAATGATCCTACTAGATTCACATAGAGCTGACATATCCTCGGGAGTCTTTACTTCCTGATCAAGAGTATGTCCCATATCGAATATGGGATCAAACTCAGATTTATCTACTTGGTTAACTATATTTGTGGACTCTTGAACTCTTTCAAATTCTATTTTACTCCCACTGTTCTCTCCTAAAGTAAACATTTTCTTTAAGAGAGCGATATATCGTGAGACGAAGACTTTCTTCTCAATGGGTTAATAGAACTGATATCCAAATATTTGTTTTGGATATTTCAAAAATATGTATTCATCGGATATATATGCTCAAATTTATCCGATTCAATGTGCTTCAAATAAGCGTCATAATCCCAAACTTTCATATGAGATAAGTTGGGACTATTGTCTTTCCATAGCTCGTATGGAGTTCTGTTAACCAATTTAGATGGGACATGATTTAGTGAGCAGCACACTACAATCAGTGCATGACCCTAAAACGGTTGTGGGAGGTTTGTATGGCTTATTATTAATCGCATTATATCTAATAATTTACGATTCCTCTGTTCAGATACACCACAATGTTGCAGTGTATATGGAGAAGTTCACTGCTAGAGAATCTCACTCTCTCTTAGATAATCTAAATTTTATTTTTTTAAGATATTCTCAGTTCGATCGGATCTTAATGTGAGGGTATCTTTATATATTTGTTTCTCTACTTCTAGCTTGAATCATTTGAACATTTTAAGAACTCCATGCTTGAATTTCATCAAGTATATATGATAATTGATGACATAAGAGAAACATTATCCGACATTAATTAACATGGGTCCATATACATTACTATGTATTATGCCAATATTTATGCAAACTTATTCCTTTTTAAGTAAAAGGAGATTTGGCCATTGTGTCAAACAGACATGTTTTGCACTTGTCAAACGATTCAAAATCAATTGACTCTACGTATACATCTCTATGTAATTTTGAAATTTCATTTCATCTATATGACCAAGTCTGTCATGCCAGATTTAGGTAATAATTAAATTATTGCATTTATGCCTTATAATTTCTATACTCATTATAGAATCGTTAGTATTTAGAATATAAATGTTATTTTGTAACTTACCATAACTATTAAGATATTATTCAAAATAAACAGGAACAATAATTGTCTTTAACATTAAAATGGTTCATGTTTGAACATGAAATTCATTTTAATGTTCTAGCTATGGTGGGTACAAAGCAATATTTCTTTAATTCCATTGCTAAGTCAAAAGACAGCGGCAAGAAGTATGCTCCTATAGGCAATGCGACAACTTTTGCTCATCTTCAATGTGTAGGTCAACTTCTCACTTTCGTAGTGGTCTATTTCTATTTAGTTGTGTCCATATTTATATAAATATGAGGTTCACATCTGGTATCAAATACCTAAGAAGCTTATGATGTAGACGTAAGCCTTGCAATATTTCTTCCAATGCCTTTTTCATTCTATAATGAAAACAATGGTCATTAGACTTCGTATTTGTCCTTCGCTTTGACCGTCTCAGCCATACTGGATGCTTTTCCAAAAGCCCCTTTAGACTTCCTCTTAATACCCTTAGAGGTATCAATAGCTTGCCCACTTCTAATTTTAATATTGGGGATAACAGTCCTAAGCATTTTAAGCAACTCAATGGGTGTGCATTCGAACTTATTCATATGATAATTCATAATTAGTATAAATAACTCTATGACAGAGATTGCAGAGCTAAGTTAATACTTAGTTCATAATTCAAGATTGAACTCAATTGAAATACTTCTCATGTCAATCATCTCCAGTACATGAGCACTGACTGAAGATTTTTCTATCACATTGCATCGGTATAGTTGTTTGGAAGTCTCATATATCCTTATACATGATTATTATTATACAACTCTTTTTAAATGAAAAATCATGTTTAGCATGTTAGCATCTATACCCTCATGTTGCTTCTGTAACTCAGGTGACATAGTTGCAAATATCACATACGTTGCAGTACTATTGTCATCACTACGTTTATTATAGCAACCACATCTTCCTTAATCGAGTCATCACTAGGTGTCTATGGAAAATGGCTACTTAAGGACAACCAACTTTCTTATGGTTGAGAACAATTCTCAAATTGCAGTGACAATCAAGAAGATTTAATTTGGTTGTTGGTATCCAGTATGCCTCTCAAATACATATGGTTGCTCACGGTTCAATAAATATAAATGACGAAAAGAAAAATATATAAAATGCATAAATTAATTTAACATGAACTTTTATTAAATTAATTATGCTCACACTATTTAATTCATATTTATGACCCTCTCACATAAATTTATGGAGTCCATACTCGATTCCCTGTGGACTGGGATCTCATCTGTTATACCAAGACCTTGAGTGTACTCAACAAGCTTTAATATAATATTTGGGTAGATACTATTATCAATTGTATCTCCATACAACTCTCAGATCATTAAGTTGACAACTCTTTGTCTTCACACATCTTATGTGTTAGCTTAACACACCTTTAAAATTTATCTCCTTGAGTGTACTCAACAAAAGATAAATTTTAGTCCATCATTCAGAAATATCCAATATTTCATAGTGTCAAACATATCCCTAATGTGACTTTATATTTTGTGTGTGTGTGTGTGTATAATAGTGTGGACGATTATGAACTTTTACTATCTACTCTTCCTGAGCAATAAGGAAGGCTAGTTGGTCAATTCCTAAAGGGTATTGCATTGACTCATACAATGCTCCATCTCCATGGTCTCTTCCTTTTCTTGTTTCTTCAATAACTCCAGATGCAACATGTATCATATATTAGTTGGCACGTAGACCTAAATGAAATTGAACTTGCAGGTCCATAATAATAACAATAATAATGAGCTCGTATGTCCAAAGCAATTAAGAGCTCACATGCCCACAAAACAACAAGAATAAAAATCAATCATTCAACACATCCTTATGATCGAATCCATAATCGTACACTAATAATATATTCATCACACAAATGTACGCATATATAATATCTAATATTATATGCAAACACGTTTCAAGTTTCTAGCAATTAAGATCGTCTAAACACTTTTAAACAAATGGATCGGAACAATTAAATAATTAATCAATCATATTGATCAATTAATTTAATTAGCGAGCATATTCAACTAAAATCAAATTTTAATTAAATACCAAATTAGAGTCAAACTCTAACTTCACGATTATAGGGCGGGACTATTTAATTAAAATCACATTTCAATTAAATATCAAATTAGAGTCAAACTCTAATTTTAAAACTTAATGCAATTGAATTTAATTAAAATCAAATTTTAATTAAATAACAAAATTAGAGTTCAACTCTATTTCAAGATTTTAGGGCGAACATATTTAATCAAATTGGAGTCTAACTCTAATCTCAAGAAGAAATTTAGGGCAAGACAATTTAATTAAAATCAAATTTTAATTAAATGTCAAATTATAATCCAATTCTAAATTCAAGAAATGCTAGGGTGAATTATTTAATTAAAATCAAATTTTAATTAAATATTAAGTTAGAGTCCAACTCTAATTTCAATTGAATTAATATTTTAATGTAGGATAACACTCCCAAATAAAATAAAAATTCAATTGAGGTCAAAGTTTAATATTTAAGTTAAATCATATTTTAACGAAAATATAAAAAGTTGTCAATTTTAAATAAAATTTTAATTTGGGTCAAAATTAAAATTTATAGGTCAAAAAAATTTTAAAATTCAAATTCAAAACCCTTTTGGAAATTGCAATTTGACCCAAGTTTAGAATTAATAATAGGGCCTTCCAATTCCTGAAATTGCAGACACGTCCTTCCTTTTAAAATTACAACTTGACCCCTTTCATAATATTGCAAGCGGGGGCCTGAAATTTCAAAAATTGCAACCGAGACCCCCGCCTCCAAATCCCTGAAATTGCACAGAAGCCCCTTTATTTAAAACTGTAAAACGACCCCCTTTTCATAATTGCAGGCGGGAAGCTTACAATTTCAGAAATTGCAAGACATACCCCCCTCCAAACACCCTAACCCGACTATATACCTTAGAAAAATTCACCTATATATATTTTTCGTTTTCTTACGCTGCCAGCCGATTTTGGGGCGGCGACCATCGTCGTTACTTGCTCCTGTGATATGCTAGGCGAACACTGTCGCGTTCTGCCGCCATTGCCGGCGACAACTGTTGCTGCCGACATCCCATGTTCTTCAACCTTTTTTTTTTCTTGTTTTCGTTTTCGGAACCAGATTTCAAAGAAAAATGAAAATTAGATTTTCATTAATTGCTAGAAACTAGTAATTGTATAACAACCAACTTTTGATTGTACAAAATGTTGAACAATTTCTAACAAACACAAAGTAGGCTCTGATACCACTATTAGGAATCTACTTAACATGTGCAGCGGAAAATTAAAACAAATTTCAATTCCCACCAGAAATCGCCTTTGTGTTTAGATAGAAATTGTAATAAAAGTGATACCTTTTCACGATCTGTAAACTCCTTTGCCTTATTTTTGTTCCAACAACTTGGATCTGTCTTCCACAGCTGTCCAATTATCCAGTTTCCAACAATGATCCACACAGAGAACAAAATTGTAATATTATGATTTTTCTTGTACTAGCAGGAATAATGAAAAATCACTCTAATTTTGAAAACTCTAATCATATTTATATAAACACGAATGGGCTTAGCCTGACCCGATCCAACATTTAATTAACCCATTTAATTAAATTCGGTCCGTGAATTAATTAATCCAATTAATCAATTCATGCCTATAAATAAATAACTCAATTAATTAATTTATCGAACACTTGTTAAATTAATTAATTGTTAAATCACAATCTTCCAGTTCTCCTTTTGTGTGCGACCCATCAGTTTCCCGATCATGATGCTTAATGACATGAAATATTATTTTGATCTAATCAAAATTGATAAATTAAAATGCCCTTTTAATTTATCACCAATCACATTCGTCATCCCAAATTGACATCTAACAATGTGTCAGGGCAATACATGTGACGAAAAATGTCATGTGGTATGACAAAATCAAACTCGTTCGTTTACCGTGAAACTATAATCCCTTTGTCAATATGATCCGATCAATTACGAGATATGAAAGTGTGTCAATCTCGATTATCGATCATATCTTTCACTCCACTATTAAGTCAATATAAGTCGAAAACTCATTTTCGACTTATGAGTACACCTTGATTAAGGATTTCGTTATCGACTTAATTGAATGAAACGCAGATCATAATCTCTTAGTAACGATTCCTCTATTGATCATTCATAACATTCATATGATTCTTGACATACCCGAACGATACCGTATTAGCGGCCCTTGACAGAGCAACATCCAATACCGTCAAAGCATGACCATCCTCATATAAGGTACTATGACGACCTCAAGTCAAAAGGACCAATCCCAGTACCGAACGTTAAAAATTAACCACTGACACTTAGATAGTTATCCATGTGGAGTCTCGACGGGTCTCCAATATTTTGTTTTATGACAAAACATCCACGTGTTCATTTAAGTGTCATCGTACTTTAAATTATGAGATCAGCTACTTACTTCACAAGTAAGAAATGTCACACGTGATGATCTATCCGTAATAAAGATATCCATATCGCATTATTACTTATGACCATAGACGATTTAAGATTCAATCATATGTAATTTGTATCTCACAATCACAACTCCTTATGATTAACAAATTACGAAGATTTGAATCTACGAACTCTATTATTTAATTTAATTGTCTATTAATTAAATAATAAATCTGCCTTTAAATTGCATTAATTATATGTTAAAAGTATTTATATCCAAAGTTGATTGGACTTAGAACATAACATCCTTCCAAGTAACAAATACAAAATTAATTACAAATAGGCACAACTCCTCGAAAAAAAGTTGGGATTTTCAGCTACTAGCTTACTATGAACACCGAAGTATCGTGATCAGCACAAGATGAAGACTACTTTAGAAGCAGGCTCTCCTAACCTAAAAACTTGAAGAAAATCAGCTTGATGTGAAATCAAGAAAACGAATTAAGTTAATACATTGACACCAACTATAACGTTAAAAAAATGCTCCTGTTTCTAAGAGATCCTCGTTCTGGATGATCCAGATGCTAACTCCTACTCCAACTTGAATATCATACCAAGAAAGAAAATTCATCGCCACTTCTCAATCAGCTCGAGTCTTTAACAGCTTATGGTGCCAAGTTTGAATACAAATCAAGTAACAGATCATCCAAGGTAAAATTGAAATCCTCTGGTCTTCCCGGTTTTAGGAAATCAAAACAATAATCATCTGCAGAAGGTGCCTGCTCCATGTGGGGTGAAGTACTGAGCAACTTTCCATCAGAGTTCTGCAAGTGGTTTGACAAATCTGAAGCTTGCACAGTGCCATAAGTGAATTGCCCTGCTTGACCACCATGCGACTCCAATCCCTTGGGCTCTGAGGAATTGTATCTAGTGGAGTCTAATGTGGTCAGTAACTCATCCACATCAAACATTTCATCCCAAGACAAGCCGTCTAATGGATTTTGCCCAGCCTCCAAACTTCGATTGAAATATATAGGGTCTTCCTTCGTATTGAACCTATGGTTTTCAGTAATATCCAAGCATCGAGGGGGATCTTTCCTTATTTCCTCCATAGGTTCCTCCTTTATTTCCGCATTCAGTGCACGACCAGCCTCTCCCAACAGCGAATGCCCATTGTTGTTTGTCCGTGATTCACCCTCAGCATCTTCATCTTTCATCTTCAGAGCATCTGCCTGAGGCCCCGTACGGTCTGCCAGACAAACATCAGAGACACTAGAAGTTGTGGAATCAGATGTTGATGTAGATCGCAAAGAACTATACTCTTTCTTCAACTCATTCATCGTATGGCAAGTGGGAAAATTAAGCCGAGCACAAGGGCCATACATTGCTCTTGCAGCCTCATCATAAGCAATAGCAGCTTCAATCGCATTGCTAAATGTACCCAACCATAGCCTACTACCCCTGTGCGGCTCTCTAATTTCAGCAACCCACTTACCCCATGTCCGCTGTCGAACGCCTCTGTAATTGCAACGAGCATTTTCAGGACCTCCTTTACCCTTCATACATCCTTTCTTCGATCCCTTGGCAGGAGCTTTACGCGCTACCTTACTTTCATCATTCTGAGAATTGAATTTATTGTTGTATTCCTTCCACTTTGCAATTGTTTCTGCTACATTTTTCGGTGCATCCTTTCTACTTCTTGACTTCCTCTTTCTGGTGAAGTCAATGGGTTGAGAAACAGGATTAGAAGATTGATCCAAAAGTGCCATCCCTGTATAAAACAAAGAACTGGTGTTCAGTCACCCTCGACAATTGCAATATCAATTCTAGACTCAATTGGAAAAATTCTACAAAATAAACAAATAAGACAATTTTGCTCCGGAATATCAATCAACACTATAATGACCAAAACTCAACATGCAGACGACAGATGGAAAATGCACAAGCAAAATCTCGTGCAAAGAATCGAAGTAGACACGATATTACATTACGCGAAACTAAAGTAGTTTGTGAGGTCTTATCAGTCGTAGATTGATCTTCAAATACAAAGTGCTAATGGAAATTCAAATTCCACCATCAAACAAAATACTTCAGTGTCACTGTCCCAAACTTTTAGCTGGTTCTCCCACAACATTTCTCTCATATAAATAGGAAAACCAGGTAACGCTGCCGAGTCTTCAAAAATAACCACACCGACTAAGCAAACCGATTTTCTTCATGGCAAAGAAATGAAAGCAAACTAATCAAGCCCTTCAGCTTCAATTCATTTTCCACCAACAAATAAATAAAAATCTACCCGCAGAACTCCAGCCCACAGAAATGGACTCCCCCCCCCCCCCCCCAC